GGCCCTCAGCAACAGCTCAGACCCAAATATTGCCATGGCCAGGTGGCAGCCCAGGTCAACCAAATCAGTATGGCACAAGTGGCAGCATGGCCTTGGACATCAACATGGTCTCAGGTGGCTGACCAGACCTCAGGTATCTGCATGGTCCATGGTGGTAACAGGAGCCATGGACATCTACTCTGACTCTGGTGTAGGGTCTGGACCCAGATGTAGCCCTCAGTAGCAGCTCTATTTCTTCAATAAACATTATAACCAGAAGCATCTTTGGGAGAAAAGGGTTAATTGTAGTTAACCATCCAGGGAAGTCAGGCTAGGAAATCAAAGCAGAAACATGGAGGCAGGAACTGATATGGAGACCATGAAGAAATGCTTCTTACTGGCTTTCTCTCCTCTTGGCTAGCTCAGTTTTCTTTCTTATACAATCCAGGATCCAGGGGTGGCACTACCCACAGTGAGCTGAACCCTTCCATGTCAATCACCAATTAAGAAAATTCTCCACAGGCATTACTGTAGGCCAATCTTAGAGAGGACTCAGTTATGTCTCCCACTTCTCATAGCAGTACAGTGGTGGTGCACACCTTTAATCCCAGCACTTGGGAGGTATAGGCAGGCAGATCTGTTTGAGTTTGAGACCAGCCTGATCTACTATTACACACAGACACACACACACACACACACACACACACACACACACAAACACACACTAAACCACTAGTTAGTCACACACCTAACGCACTAGTTAGCAATAGAGGACAGGCAGTAGTGACCACACCTTTAATCCCAGCACTTGGGAGACAGAGGCAGATGGAGCTCTGTGAGTTCAAGGCTACCCTGGGCTACATGAGAGATAATCAGTCTAAAAGAGAAACAGAGCTCATGCCTTTGATCCCAGCACTTGAGATGACACAACTTTAACCCCAGCACTAGGGAGGTGGAGATAGGAGTGATATGGCTGGGCAGAGAGAGGTCTAGTAACTGGCTTCTTTGCTTTCTGATCTTCAGCTTTAAACCTAATATCTGCCTCTGGGTTTTATTAATCATGCTACAGGAGGAGGGAGGATCATAAGATCCACTGGGGTCGAGAACACCACAAGAAAATCCACAGAATCAACTAACCTGTGCTCATAAGTGTTCACAGCGATTGAATCAACAATAAGGAAGCCTGCATAGAACCGATCTAGACCCTCTGCATAAATGTGACAGTTGTGTACTTGGTCTTCTTGTGGGATTCCTAACAGTGTGAGTGGGAGTGTCTCTGACTCTTTTGCCTGCTTACAGGGTCTTTTTCCTCACACCGGGTTCCTTGTCCAGTCTTGACACAAGGGTTTGTACCTAGTCTGAGGTACCAGGGTGGGGAAGTATGTAGGGTGAGGGCTGGGATGATTGGAGGTAGGGAAACTGAAATTGGGATGTAATGATTTTACAGAATTAAATTAAAAATTCAAAAAATAATAAAGCTTGAAGAATTCTCTCATTGATTCCCCAATTGCCTAGTCTTACTGTAAGCTATGACATTTTCAGATGATATCACTGGGAGGCCTGGTCTTTTCTGGAGGAACATGGAGGAGGAGTAGATCTGGGGGAGAGAGGAGGTTGGGGGGATCTTGGAAGAGTGGAGGGAATGGAAACAGCAGTTGGGATGTTTTGTATGAGAGAAGAATAAATAAAAGAGCAAGCCAGTAAGTATCAACCCCCTATGGCCTCTGCATCATCTCCTGCCTCAGGGACCCTGTCCTGTGTGAGTTCCTGTCCTGACTTCCTTCTGTGATTAACAGCAATATGAAAGCATAAGCAGAATAAACCCTTTCCTTGCCCCACAAAAAACAAACAAACAAACAAAAAAAAAAGCGCCAGCAGGACAGATACTAACAGGTTTGGAGAATACTGCATTTGGACCTTTCCTTTATAATAAACATCTCATGAAATCAATGACTAGAACAGCATAGCTTTAATTACTGATCAGAAGAACAGGGTTAGTGTTGTGTCTCATGTCCCATGAGAAATCATAACATCCAAAACTGCTTAAAATGTCATTAGTATATAACTAAAAAGGGCTCCAGGAGCCTTAAAGATTATATGACTACTATATAACGGAAGTTTGTCAGATAAAAAACCAAAGGCACAGTATTGCCCTTAGAAAGACTTGATCTAAATAGGCTTGTCAGTCACCTAGGCAGGACAAAGTTCCTCCAAAAAAGCTATTTATTTTGGAGATTTATTACAGAATACTAGAAAAAAGTTTAAATTTGTATTTCCTTGGTGCCTAAGAATGGTGAACATCTTTGTAAGTGACCATTTATGTTTCTTCTTTAAGAACTGTGTACTCAGATCATGAACCCATTTATTGACTTTCTGGCATTTAATTATTTGGTATTCCTTAAATATTCTAGAATTAGCTCACTGTCGATATAAGTAGGACAGAGGAAGGGCAGGGGGGATAAAAAATTTGTGTAGTAAAAATGGCATGATGCAAACCATAATTTTATTCTAAAAATTAATTTATAAAAGAAAATCCTGCAATGCCTGCCTAGAATTGACATGTGAAGCAACCTTGTTTCTAATTTAAATTTAAAAATAAATAATAAAAATAAAAAATAAAAGCATAAATTTATTCTAAAAATTAATTTATAAAAGAAAACACTGCAATGCCTGCCTAAAATTTAGGTCACCAAAGTGATCTCTTTGATCATTGTCTACTCTCATCATTTGAGCACGCACCAATCTGTGAAATCAATATGACTTGTCTTTTACACTAACCACACCGTGTGTATCACACCTGAATACTGTCACTGGACATCACAAGGACCAGAGAAATAACACGAGTCAAGAGTGAGATCTTAGTGACAGCAGATTTGCTTAAGTGTGTATTATTGGTTGTTGGGAGACCTCATTCTGTAAGTATGTGTCTGATTGGTTTGAATAAATCCCAGTTGGCCAATAGGGAAAGAAGATAGGTGGGACTAGGTGTCTAGGAGGTTTCTGGGAATTGTAGTGAGGATAGCTCTCGCCATGTAATCTCCTGGGAGCAATGGGCACCCACAAATGAGTCCTCAAAAAGATAAATTCTTAATTATGGGTTAATAATCAAATCAGAGGTAGCCGATTAGAAACCAAGCAAATGGCCAACAGCTTCATAATTAATATACTGTCTTGCATGTTATTTGGGGGTGAAAGCTGCTAAGGGACCCAGGCGGATCCCGAAACAGTTGGTCACCAAACATTTTTAGGTTTTCAGATATCTGTTATGGTGGTTTATTTTTATTTGAGACAGGGTCTCACACTATAGTGTATGCTGTCCTGAACTCACCAAGTAGTCGAGGCTGGCTTTAAACTTGCACCAATGGAAGTGAAGAAGACTCTTAGTGTTCTGAATGCTAGTTATACAGGTGTGAGCCTCCATCCCCAGTTCAGATATCTTATTATTTCTGACTTAATTCCATTGGAGTCAGAGTACATATGTTACAAAATTAAAATCCACTTAAACTTTTGTTTATATATGATTCAAAATAAAGGTTCTTCTTTGTTCAGAATCCATGTGCATTTGAAAAAAATTGATTCTGAAAACATGTGTTATACCGGAATGTCTGTTACAACATAGTGCCCTCTGTATGTGACAGGAAAACTGCATTCATGAATGTGGTTGCCTAAAATAAAACTAAACTATGATAGCACAGTTGCCATGCCAGTGTGGAAGGGGGAAATCTCAAAAGGCTACACACCTAGATGTAGAGCAATAGAAAAATTAATGAGAGCGGGAGACTGACACAGAGAGACAGAGACTGAGAGAGAGAGAATATCAGTGTTACTCAGGTTTAACCCCCCTAATTGGTTGTTCAATCCCAAGTGGACAGTCCTAAATACATACACATAAGAGTAGCACTAAGTGAACTTTACAGGATGTATTTATGAGTAAGGGTGTGTCTAGCAATAATAATTAAAGAATGACAGGTCATGAATTTGAGAAGTGAAATTTAAGTGTTCAGGGGAGAAGTCCAAGGTAAGAGAGTTAGTAGAGATAGGATGTAAGAGTATTTATATATTATAATATTTAAAAAGCAACAAAAGAAAGATGCCATGCAACAGAGTTCAAGTGGAGGGTTTTTTATTAGGGAAAAGAAAACGAAAGCAGGGAGACCTGCCTCTAAGACAGGAGTAGTGGGAGAGAGGACAGAGAGGCAGAGAGAAAGTGTGTGTGTGTGTGTGTGTGTGTGTGTGTGTGTGTGTGTGTGTGTGTCAGAGACAGACAGACAGGCAGGCAGACAGACAGATACAGAGAGATAAGGAGAGAAAGAAAGAGAGGAGGATGGGAGGTGGCCTGGGGCCTTTTAAGGGAGGGTATTGAATGTTCCTTCCGCTGAGGGCATATCCTGTCAGAAAACCAAGGACAGGCCAGTGCAGATGCCTGAATACTAACATTATACATGAAAGTTTTCATAATTAAAACATGTTTCTAAATATTCCCTACTTATATCACTGATTATGCTTACCACTACAACTATTTTGCTTTTTATATTCTTTTCTCCCTGATTATAACATGTAATAGTCTAATGGTTGCTTGAATAAAGGAGTCATGCTGACATTTGAATCATATGAAAATTCTGCAAGAAATAATTATCTATATTTGTTGAAGAATTTTTAAATGACACTAGAGACATGGTAGTAGACAGTCATACAAAACATACTTACTACAAATACAAACTTGAGAAGGTACAGAAATACAGTATGTTGTACCAATCCTAATATCTAACAAATTAGACTGAAGGATGTCGTTTTTATGCACATTGGAGTCACTGAGAAGAGCTGTCACTAAAACAAAACTCTGCTGGAATCATGAAAAGCATCTCATCAACAAAATCACATGTAAACAGTGTTCACAAAGCTTACTTGAAGAAATGGGGTGATTTGTTAAAATATTTGTACTTTATTAATATCTTTTCGAATACTGTATACGTGAGATGATCAGTGCAGTCACGTGGGTTGCTATGGAGCTTAGATCTCACGTTCTAACGCCTCATAACGGTTCTGAGCCTCCATTATCACTCTCTGTGATTCTGCCGCTAGTTCAGCCAGGAGCCCAAGCTTGCGGGTGGATCTATCGTTCACCATGGGTTTTCTGCGAAAGTCTCGTCGTCGCAAGCGCAACCGCTGCCCACTCTGCTCCTCAAGGGCTACGCCTGCCTATCCATTGGTGTTTATGGCACCACCCATGGTCTTGGCACCACCCATGGTCTCGCCACCATCTCAAGTGCGTCACAACTACCACTTCGACTGCGAGGCCGCTGTTAACCGTCTTGTCCAGCTGCAGCTGTGTAACTCCTATGTCTACCTGTCCATGGCCTTCTACTTTGATCGTGAAGATGTGGCTCAGGAGAACTTGGCAAGCTTCTTCCTGAACAAGTCGCACGAGTATTCTGCGCACGCCGAGATGTTCCTGGAACTGCAAAACCAGCGTGGTGGCCGCATCTCACTCGGCTCTGTCAGCAAGCCAGTCCGTGTTGATTGGATCAGCGGCCTTAAAGCCATGGAGTATGCCCTTCGACTGGAGCTGACCACCAACCAAAGCCTTGTGGCCCTGCAGCAGCTAGCCGCTAGCAAGAGCGATGCCCATCTATGCAGCTTCCTGAAGAACCGTTTTCTGAACAAGCAAATTGAGATCCTCAAGGTGATAAGTGGCTACGTGACCAACATGCGCCAGATGGGGTCTCCAGATGACGGCATGGTTGAAAATCTATTTGGAAAACTTACCCTGGCTGACAACAAGGAGAGCTGAGCTGAACAAAGTATAATAATTCTAAATTATTCCTCTCCAGGCTACCAGAATGGACACCTACATTGCCCTTCCAGCAAGTTCACTGGTTTTTCCTTCCCCTTTACCACTGTTTCCAATAAAGTCATTTGATTTCAATCAAATAAATTGTTGAGTTTATTTATGTTTACTTCCCGTTACTTTACAAGAATAAGGGCCTATTCCTTTGAGGTCTAAGACCAGGATTCTTGTCACCCACCCCTGGCCATCCTCTTACAGCCCCAAATCTCCAAAGGGTGGAAGGGAAAGCTGATCCAAGAGCCCCAGAGACAGCATTCTTTATAAATCATGTGAGCATAGGTGGTAAGATATGATGGTGTGTGACAGGGGGTGTGGTCAGAACCCTGGTGTCTGTGCTTAGTGTAAGCACATGGAGTCCCAGGGCTCAAAGTAGGACTGAGACGGGGCAGGGATTAAAACAAGCAGTGGATGTGGGGGAGAGGGGAGGCAGGGAAACTGGGAGTAGTGGAGAGAAGGGATGTTGTTGTTGGGATGGATTTTTTTCTTTTTTATTATGTATTTTTAAATTTAAATTTAAATTAGAAACAAAGTTGCATCACAGGTCATTTCCAGGTCCCTCTCCCTTTCCCTCCCCCCCCCTGCCCTGCCCTCCCACCAATCCCCCCAATATACCCTCATCTCCCCAGGGAGGGTGAGGCACTCTTTGGGGGTGTCCATAGTCTGTCATTTCATCCAGGGCAGGGCCTAGACTTCCCCCCAAGAGTTCAGGGTGAGAGTGCATCTCATATTGTTGAATGGGAGTCCAAAGTCTGTGTGTATACTTGGGATGAATACTGATTACTGCCCAAGGCTCAATAGTTTACCTAGGCCTCCTCACTGACACCCCATTCAGGGTCTTGATCAGTCCCATGCTGGATTCCCAGGCATCAGCCTGGGATTCCAGAATTAACCCTTGTCAGGTCAGCTATTTCTGGGGATTAAACCAGGCCAGTCTTAACCCCTTTGGTCATCAGTCCTCCCTCTCTGTTACTGGCTTTCTTGAGTTCAGCTCAGTGCGTAGATGTGGGAGTTTGCCTATGCTTGCATCAGCCATTGAATGAAGGTTCTGTTTCCCAGACTCTCTGGCCATGGGATTGTAGACTGGCATTCCACAGATCTATGTCTGAATTCCATATATGAGAGAATACATACCACATTTTCTCTATCCACTCTTCGGTTGAGGGGCATCTATCTAGGTTGCTTCCAACTTCTGGCTATTACAAATAATGCTGCTATGAACATAGTGGAACTGACATCCTTGTTGTATGAATGGGCATCTTTTGGATATATGCCTATGAGTGGAGTTGCTGAGTCTTGTGGTAGGTTTATTCCCATTTTTCTGAGGAATCTCCATACTGATTTCCAAAGTGGCTGAACCAGTTGGCACTCCCTCCAGCAATGGAGGAGTGTCCCCCTTTTACCACATCCTCTCCAGCATGAATTGTCATTGGTGTTTTTGATTTTAGCCTTCTGACAGGAGTGAGATGGTATCCCAGAGTTGTTTTGATTTGCATTTCCCGGATGCCTAAGGATGTTGAGCACTTTCTCAAGTGCCTCTCTGCCATTTTAGACTCCTCTATTGAAAACACTCCATGTAGTTCTGCAGCCCACTTTTTAATTGGATCCATTGGTGTTTTGGAGACTTGCTTCTTGAGTTCTTTCAAGGTCTATGAAGAATTGTGCATTTTAAAATGGGGACTGCATTGAATCTGTTGATTACTTTTGGCAGGATTGCCATTTTTACTACATTGATCCTACCTATCCAAGAGCATGGGAGATCTTTCCAATTTCTGAGGGCTTCTTTAATTTCTTTCTTTAAATATTCAAAGTTCTTGCAATATAGGTCTTTCACTTGTTTGGTTAGTGTTACCCCAAGGTATTTTATGTTGTTTGTGGCTATTGTAAAGTGTGATGTTTCTCTGGTTTCTTTCTCAGCCCTTTTATCATCTGTATATAGTAGGGCTACTGATTTTCTTGAGTTGATCTTGTAGCCTGCCACTTTGCTGAAGGTTTTAATCAGCTGTAAGTGTTCCCTGGTAGAGTTCTTTGGGTCATTTATGTAAACCATCATATCATCTGCAAACAATGAAAGTTTGACCTCTTCTTTTCCAATTTGTATCCCCTTGATCTCCTTTTTTTTGTCTTATTGCTCTACCTAGAACTTCAAGTACAATATTGAAGCGGTATGGGGAGAAGGGACAGCCTTATCTTGTTCCTGATTTTAGTGGAATCTCCTTGAGTTTCTGTCCATTTAGTTTGATGTTGGCTGTTGGTTTACTGTATATAGCTTTTATTATGTTTAAGTATGTTCCTGTAATACCAGATCTCTCCAATACTTTTATCATGAAGGGGTGTTGGATTTTGTCAATGGCTTTTTCAGCATCTAGTGAGATGATCATGTGATTTTTGTATTTCAGCTTGTTTATATGGTTGATTACGTTGATGGATTTTCGTATGTTGAACCATCCCTGCATCCCTTGGATGAAACCTACTTGATCATGGTGAATGATTGTTCTGATGTGTTCTTGGATCTGATTTCCCAGTATTTTATTGAGTATTTTTGCATCAATATTCATGAGGGATATTGGTCTGAAGTTCTCTTTCCTTGTCGTGTCTTTGTGTGGCTTGGGGATCAAGGTTATTGAAGCCTCATAGAAAGAGTTTGGCAAAGATCCTTCGGCTTCTATTATGTGGAATACTTTGAGAAGAATTGGTATAAGCTGTTCTTTAAATTTCTGGTAGAATTTTGCACTGAGCCCATCTGGACCTGGACTTTTTTTTGGTTGAGAGTCTTTTGATGACTCCTTCTATTTCCTTAGGGGGTATAGGTCTATTTAAATTGCGTATCTGTTTTTGAATTAGTTTTGGCTAGTGAGAGCTATCCAGGAAGTCGTCTATTTAGTTTAAATTTTCAAATTTTGTGTAGTAAAGTTTTTCAAAGTATGACCTGATGATTCTCTGGATTTCCTCAGAGTCTGTTGTTATGGCCCCCTTTTCATTTCTGATTTTGTTAATTTGCATGTTCCCTCTCTTCTGTTTGGTAAGGTTGGACAAAGGTTTGTCTATCTTATTGATTTTCTCATAGAACCAACTCTTTGTTGCATTGATTCTTTGTATTGATTTCCTAGTTTCTAATTTATTGATTTCAGCCCTCAATTTGATTATTTCCTGGCGCCTACTCCTCCTGGGGGAGTTTGCTTCCTGGTGTTCTAGAGCTTTCAGCTGTGCTGTTAATTCTCTAGTATAACTATTCTCCAGTTTCTTCATGTGGGCACTTACTGCTATGAACTTGCCCCGTAGCACTGCTTTCAAAGTGTCCCATTTGGGTATGTTGTGTCTTCATTCTCATTGAAGTCCAGGAAGCCTTTAATTTCTTTTTTTATTTCTCCTTTGACCAACGTATGGTGCAGTTGTGCATTATTCTATTTCAATGAGTTTGTAGGTTTTCTGCAATTAGTGTTGTTTTGAATTCTAATTTTAAGGCATGGTGGTCTGATAAGATGCATGGAGTTATTGAAATTTTTTTGTAGCTGCTGAGATTTGATATGTTACCAAGTATGTGGCCGATTTTTGAGAAGGTTCCATGTGGTAGTGAGAAGAAGGTATATTCTTTTTTACATGGATGAAATGTTCTATAGATGTCTGTTAATCCCAGTTGGGTCATTACTTCTATTAGACCCTTTGTTCTTTGTTGAGTTTCTGTCTGGTATTCCTGTCTAGTGGTGAGAGTGGTATGTTGAAATCTCCCACTATAAGTGTGTGGGGCTTTATATGTGATTTAAGTTTTAGTAATATTTTTTTCACGAATGTGGATGCCTTTGTATTTGGGGCATAGATGTTCAGGATAGACACTTCATCTTGGTGGATTTTCCTGTGATGAGTATGTAATGACCACCTTCATCTCTTTTGATTGATTTTATTTTAAAATCTAGCTTGCTTGTTTCTCGGGTCCATTTGATTGGAAAATTTTTTCCCAACCTTTAACTATCAGGTAATGTCTGACTTTGAGGTTGAGGTGTGTTTTTTTGTATGCAGCAGAAGGAAGGGTTCTGTCTTTGAACCCATTCTGCTAGCCGGTGTCTTTTTATGGGTGAGTTAAGGCCATTAATTTTGAGGGATATTAATGACCATTGATTGCTCATTCTTCTTTGATTTGGAATGGTTGTTTTTGGTGGAATTATGTGTGGAATTTCACCCCTTTGTTCTTTTGGCTGTTGGTATAGAGGGATTCTCTAATGCCTATTTTTTTCTGGTTGTAGTTAACTTCCTTGGGTTGGAGTTTTCCTTCCAAGACTTTCTGTACAGCTGGGTTAGTGGATACGTATTGCTTGAATTTAGTTTTGTCATGGAATATCTTGTTTTCCCCATCTATAGTGATTCAGAGCTTTGCCAGGTATAGTAGTCTGGGCTGGCATACATGGTCTCTTAGTTTTGGTAGAATATCTCTCCAGGACCTTGTGGCTTTCACAGTTTCCATGGAGAAGTCAGGTGTAATTCTGATAGGTCTCTCTTTATATGTTACTTGGCCTTTTTCCTTAGCTGCTCTTAATATTCTTTCTTTAGTCTGCATATTTGGGGTCTTGATTATTATGTGTCGAGGGGATTTTTTTCTTGTGTTCCACTCTATTTGGTGTCCTGTAAGCTTCTTGTACCTTCATTGACATGTCTTTCTTAACATTGGGAAAGTTTTCTTCTATGATTTTGTTGAATATGTTTTCTGCCCCTTTGAGGTGGTTTTCTTCTCCTTCTTCTATACCTATTACTCTTAGTTTTGGCCTTTTGATGGTGTCCCATATTTCCTGCATGTTTTGTGTTAAGGATTTGTTGGACTTAAGGTTTTCTTTGGTTGATGAATCTATTTTTCCTAGTGTATCTTCAACACTTATTCTCTCTTCCATCTCTTCTATTCTGTTGGTAATGCTTGTATCTGTAGTACCTGACCGTTTGCCCAGCTTTTCTATTTCCTGCCTTTCTTCTGATTGTGTTTTTTTTTATTGTCTCTATTTCAGTTTTCAACTCTTGCAGTTTCTTGCATTTTCAGTTTATCTTTTCATCCATTTGTTCCCTTTTATGAATTTTTGGTTTGTTCTTTCTTCCAT